GGGTTATGCTTATATGCATGCATACAAGTCCTTTGATTAATCTCTCCTCCCTTCTTCCCCCAACCCCCCGGGGTTGGATGGTCTGTTTGATGCTTCTATGTCTCTGGATCTATTTTAGTTAATCAGTTTATGTTGTTCATTATATTCCACACTAGAGGCCAGGTGCACGAATTTGCATGGGTGGGGTCCGGCCAGCCCCGCCCCAATGAGGGCCCATCAGGGCCAGGCCAACCAGGGAAGGGGACAGTGGGAGGTTGGCCAGCCAGCCACCCCCATTGGGGTTGAGGGGGTGATCAAGGCCGGGGCCAGCTGCCCCCTACCCCCGTCCCTGCAGTGCATGTCATAGCGACGGGTCATTCCGGTCGCTTAGGGTTTTATATATAGATATAGATATAGATATAGATATAGATATAGATATAGATATAGATATAGATATAGATATAGAGATATAGATATAGATATAGATATGTGATCATGATCTTTAGGGAATAATGGAGACACTGTGGCAAAGGGAATGGAAAGTTAATCCTCATTTCAATAGGGTCATTGGGAAAGACTCCCTGAGGGACATATTACTCACCTGACCTGGAGTGGGATCTTGGGCACCTTCCTAGAGACTTTGAATGGGCCTCTGTCCCCATAGGTGTCGGTGAAGTACACTCCAGCCACACTGGTCGCCAGGTTCCCAGGGAACCTGGATAGCACCTTGTCACAGCCGTGCTGACTGGCCCAGTACCAGGCCTGGCCCCCAATGAGCAAGCCCCCACCACGTTTCACAAACTGGACCAGCTCTGTAGTCAAGGTTTCATTGTAGGCATTGATGCAGTACACCCCTGAGCGGTCTCCCAGTTCTGGCTGAACCTGTGCCTCAATCCCAGAACCCCGCAGGATGGTAACTAGTGGTTCCAGGGAGGTGTGCACTCCCACGGGAGCCCCAGGAGAGGGACGGAGCCAGTTCACTGCATTGAGAAGAAATGGAGCTAAGCCAGCATCCAGCAGGTAGCCCTCATGGGACACCACCACCAGGCGGCCTCGGCCATAGGAGGACGCAGCAATGAGGACCTGGCCCCTCTTATTCACCAACACTGGGAAGGCAGCCTCTCCAATGAGAAGCAGTTCACACGGGATGGGGCCTTCAGGGACATTCCAGCTTGTCACTCCATTTAGAAGGGCCTCAAAAGCCACCATGGGAGTTGTTGCCATGATCACTCAGCTGCTGCAGAGAAGAGCAAAGACTGTGATCAGAACAGGTGAAGCAGTGAGTGAACACAAGAAGGACTGAATACATTCGGACGAGAACCATTTCTTGGGTCCCCACTATGTGCCAGCACTGGTGGTGCAGCAAGGAACAAATCAGACAAGGTCCCCACTTTTCTGAACCTAGTATTTTATAAGGGGAAGGACCATAAATAGGTCGACCAACAGATCAATAAAATGCAGCAATTAATAAGTGTTATGATGAAAATAAAACATAGTGATGTGTCAAATGACTGGAAAAGTGCTTTAGACTCTGTGACAGGAAGGCATTTATGAGAAAGTGACATGGAAGCTGAAACCCGACATGTTAGTTGAGTCCTGATGGGGCTGCCGGAGAAGAGCAGTCCCACAAAGAGAAGTGACAGGGAGGCCGCAGAGGAACGGGTAGGGAGGAGCAGGACCTGAGTGGAGTGGGGAGGGGCTGATCCTGTGGGGCCTGGTAGATCAATGCAATTGGTGACTTGTATTTCATTTCCCTGGACAAAAACGTTAGGTGACCTTTCAGAAACTGCATTTGTTCTGTTAGCTTCTTTGACTAAATGAGTTAGAAATGCCTCCCAATTTATCCTGTCTAACTAGGGAGTTCACCACCTCCATTTGGGTAGCATTCTGTAATTTCTGGAGCTCTTTTAAAATTCGCTGCTCCTAAAAGTAAGCTCATTATCCCCCTCAGAGCAAGTCCTCTTGAATAAATTAATGAAGCCTCAGTTTCCCCATTTGTAGAAAAAAAAATCATACATCTCTTAGAGGATTGGTTTTGAAGATTAAGAAATGCATGTAAAACGCCTTTTCCTGGGCTGGGTCCGCAGTGGGCACTGAGAAAATGTTTCTGTCCCTTTGCTTCCCTTTGGATCTGCCCCAAGTGACAAGGATCCTGTAGTAGGTGCGTAGGTGCTGGTGCCATGTCCTCTCCGCCAACTTCTAATTTCAGTGGCTGCTTGAGATGCATCCTAGAGTCCTCAAAGGGCCCTCGGAGGAACTGAGTTCTGGCTGCCCACAGTGGAAAACAGCTCAGCGACATGCCTCATCCTTCACTGCCTTTCCCACCTTCCTTGTCTCCTCCTCCTATGTCCTCACTCTGGGTTCTGAGCTCACTTCCCAAATAAACTACCTGTACTCAAGTTCATCTGCTAAGCTTTGCTCTGGGGAAGCATCTAAACTAAGACAGATACCAAAGCTCTCTGCTGCATTTGCTGCCTTCCTCCCTTCCGTTTCCACCTCATTCCTTCATCTTCCTTCACGTCATTCCCTTCAATTTACATTCATATATATCTAGACAGAACCAAGTTAGTTTCTTCCCAGGATGTATTCTTATCTACATCTTTCTCAAGCCATCCTACAGACATCTCTCCCTAATAAGAGCCCTCCACTTTCATCCACTGTCCATATGGCAAAAGTTTAGTGCCTCACTCTGGGTTTTCAGGTCTCCAGGGCCTGGACTTTCCATTTTTTTCTGCACTTCCCTTTCCTGCTATGTTGTTTCTCCACGAGATCTCTAGTTGGCTTGACTTGTACTTCCTGTAAAATTCCAGGGTGGTTTTTTGTTGTTGCTGTTAGTTCTCACCTAAGGATATTTTTTCCATTGATTTTTTAGGAAGGGAGGGAGGGAGGGAGGGAGAGGGAGAAGGAGAGAGAGAGGGAAACATCAATGTGAGACACATTGACTGGGTACCTCCTGCACATGCCCCTGCAACTGAGTTATGTGCCCTTGACTGGGAATCCAACCCTTTTGTGTGTGGGCAGAGGCTCTAACCATTGAACATACAGGCCTGGGCTTTTTTTTTTTTTTTTAATCTACCATTTCTTTCTCAGTATTGCTCCTAGGACAATAAATTCACAAAGACAGACATCTCCTGCCTGGAGTGTGTGGGTGTGCGATCCCAGCTTTTGGGTTCAGGAGTGGGAAAGGCAGGAAAGAGTTCTGGTACCTGAGGTCAATATCCTGTTCATTACCTCTGAAATAACAAGTGAAGTCTTTCATTAATCTGGACAGCCCTCGTTTTACAGGAAAAACACACAAAACACAGGAGATGAGTAATATACACTTGGGACGCTGACCCCCAAATCTATAGACCAAAGTGCGCACGCACATACACCCATCTTTGTCAAATTCTTGACTCACAAGTTCAAAGGGGCGAGAGAAAAGTGTTTTGAGACAAATAGTGAATACCATCCGACCGGCGAAACAAAACGAAATAAAAACCTGACGGGAAGAAGAGACAGACACGCTGATAGAAGTTCGCGCATGCGCCTGCCACCCGGGGCCCCGCAGTGTGTAGGGTGCTTGGGCACCCAGCCGGAGCTCGGATTGAAAACTCAGGCGCGAAGGAGGAGAGATAAACCAAAGAATTTATGTACTTATATGCGCAGCCCACAGACACGGGCAGTAGGGTAGTGAAAACCTGGAGTGGGTGGGTAGGGGCAGAGAGGAGAAGGGGAAAAGGGAGGGGGATGGGAGATATCTGTAGTACTATCAACAGAAAAAAATATATGTAAAAAAAGAAAACGGAAGAAAACTCACGCTTGAGTCTTCCGGGTCGCGGCGCTGGCTCCGGTGCAGAGACTAATGCAGGCGGTCTTGGGTGGTGGCCGGTGGGGCGGGACTAGGTGAGACTGGTGGACACGCCCTGGAGCCAACCTCCCTCTGTCACTCCCCGGCCGCTGCACGTGGGGCGACCCAGCGGCAGGTGGGCGTCTGCAGAGTGAGCGGGAGTCCCTCCGGAAGATGGAGTCCCTCGGCCTGGCCTTCGGGGATCCGACCGAAAGGGGCTCCCCCACATCCCCTGAGTGGTCCCGGAGTGCGAGAGGGCACTCTGCAAAGTTGCAACGCAAGTGCTATAAACCAGATTCTGGGCCGACAGTGCCCCAGCAACAACTTAACGCACCGCAGAAGGTGGAATCGCCTGGCCCTGAGGAATCGGGCTCTGTCCTCTCTGGTCCGCCCTCTCTGGTTCCGGGGTGTGTCACCCCTGAAGTCACCACTGCTGGGCAGCTCCGGCGTTGAGTGTCTGCCCCCTGGTGGTCAGCACCTGCCATGCAACCTGTGCTGGGGCCATTCGCAGAGATCCAGGGAATTCAGCAGAGAGAACGGGGCCTGGGATTATACACAGAAATCATGCCTAGTGATATTGCTGCTGGGAAGGAACTGTGCCAGTTACATCACCACACAGATAAGTCCCTGCTTGGCAGCAGAAATTACCGCTAAAGCTAGCGAGTAGCTGCTGCTTGTATTTCACCTAAGGGGTGGGAAGGTAAAAATCAATGTGGGAGAGTAGTACTAGGAGATTTGCGTGAATCTGATTTTACACAGCTTTGCATAATAGATACACCATTTTTAATTCATTGAAGCTTTATTTTGCTTTGATTTTAGGGGAAGAGAGAGGATACAGGAAGGGTGAGTGTTATGACTGGAAGATGATTATGGAGAAGGGGATTTTAGACACCTTATTTTCTAAAACTCCATTGGGGCTACCTTTGGTTTTACAAGTAAATTATCACTGTTTTTAAAGTTATCAGATGTTCCTATTTTTAAGAAAAAGTTTATGACTGTCTCTTCATAAGCATCATTTAAAAGCAGCAGCAGGTACTCCCACAAACATGTAGTTGACTCTTCAGTCATATTCTCTTCTGTCTGGGGGCTTGTCAAGACCAGTCTCTTCACCACACCTGTAGGTCACGCTCTTTACAAAACAGATAGCACCTCCTCCAGGATATTGCTATCCAGTTCCCTCTCCTTTTTGTGTTTTCATTTTTGTGATTTATTTCCTAGACTAAAATATAGATTGGTTCAACTCCCTTCCTTGCATCCCTGTGCAGAAGACACCATTTCTTCCCCATGGTTCACCCACTCCTTTGTCAAGAATGAGGCTCAAACCTCAGCTATGCAGCCTCTGCTTCTACCACTTTATTCCTTCCAAGGTCACCAAGGGACTCCTTTCCACACTCCATCCTTACCGCTTGCCTCCAATGCACACTTTGCAGTGGTGACTGATTCATTGTCAGTCTTTTCTCTTAAATTGACATAATGCTATATTATTACTATACTTCTCTTTGGAACTGTACCAAACCATACTTTCAGTATTTTAAAGTAGTTATTTTTTCTTTGAGAGTTGGAACAACCAGGAATGAAGTGCTGATTCTTATTTTAATACATCTTGAACTTCTTCTTATTATGGATCAAACTGTGTTCATCTCTTCCCCCAAATTTATATTTTGAAGTCCCAGTCCTCAGTACCTCGGCCTGACCTCGGAATGTAACTGTATTTGGAGAGAAGATCTTTAAAGATGTGATTAAATTAAAATGAGGCCAATGAGGTGGGGCTCTAATCCAATATGGCTGATGTCCTAATAATAAGATGAACACTGCAGTTAGTGTTCATTCTAAAGTTCAAATCTGGTTATGAAAGTTCCTGCATACTTCTGGCTTCCTCCCTGCTCCGGGCTATTGACTTAGATATCCAGCCTCCACATGGACTGACCTTTGCTCAGTTCTTCAGCCTGATTTAACACTGTGGTTTCTCTTTTCTCCCAGGACTCTACCCGCTCCTAAAGTGAAATTTCCTTCTCCTAGAAAATGACTTTTTTCTTATCTTAGCTCAGTCACCACTTTCCTAGAAAAGACTTTCCTAACCTGCAAACTATACCAAAGCCTCTTCCTGACTACACAAATACCTCTCTTCTTAGTTCTCGTCTAGCATGTAATTTTATATTTAGTTGTATAGTCCTCTGGTTACTGTTGGCCTCTCTTATAGGATCTCATGCTATGAGTATAGAGTTTGCCTCCGTTTGCCCACCATTGGGTCCTCGTTGCCTGGTTTCATTTCTGGCATGTTGGAGACTCTAGTTTCTTAACAAATATATAAATGTATATTGAATAAATCAATAAGTATATAGTGAATGTTCAAGAAATTTCTATTCTATTAGTGAGTAATTAACTGAGTATTAGAAGGACTATTGGAAACCTGTTTGCCACAGGACCAAATGCAATCAGGTTTCAGAAAGAAAGAGCAAGGAGAAACCCACACAAGGGAGACAGTTTGGATAAAACCTATCAGGATTTTGAATACTCAGGATGGAAGCCAAATGTGAGGTGAGGTTAGTTGAGTTCTTAGGTCTCATATCAGGAAACAGTTGACCTTCAGGAAGCCAAATCAGGGATGGATACACGGGGAGTGGGTCAGAAGTGTGACATGTCAAACGCTGAGCTCAGGATCTCCTGTGTGTTTGTGCTCTTAGCTTTTAACCAGTCTCTCATGGAATAGAACCATGACTTCTTGGTTCATAGGTTGACGCTCAACTGCTGAGCCATGCTGCCTGGGCCCACTCTTGTAAAGACTCCTGAGCATATTTTGGTGTTGATCTAATAGAAGAAAGAGCTTTGAGCAAAGGTGATTTTTCCAGGTCCAGAGAGCAAAAGCAAGCCCACCATCAACAAGGTACTTGCCCTTTGGGATCAGGAGTTGGCCAAAAAATGGAAACAAAACAACATAGGATTCAGAATAAAGGCCTGTTTAACACCTGGAAATAAAAGATGGGGACTAGCATGGGTTCTGACTAAAGGGTCATTGCTCATGTGGAGGTGCAGATCCCAGACCTTTCATCACACTGAAGGGAAAATAGAAACTGCTCCATGAAAGTCAGCCTATTCTCATTGAGCACATATTCTGGGAGGCATTTCGGGAGATGGCGATGACCCTATGATCAATAAGTCTAGAGGAGAGCAGGCATGAAAAACAGCCATATCAGATCAGTTTCTATAGATGCCAAAATTGGTTGCAAATTAAGTACGAGGGAACAGAAAGGGAGAAGCATTTGTTTCTAATTCAGCTTTACAGAACTTACAGAGAAGGCAGCACTAAAATTTAGCTTTGGAAAAATCTATATGACCTTTGTGGGCAGAGAGAGTATTGCAGTATAAGACTGCATCACAGGCACAGTGTGGAGATGTGAAAGTGAAAGGCTTGATTTGAGAAAGACCAGTTGTTTATGGTGATTGACACTTGTTAACAGGACTCACGTAGTGCTAGCTCTGAAGAGACCCTGGGCCAGGTGTTGAGGTTGTATGAAGGAATCTGGATTGTGGTCTACAGTCTGGAGAAAGGTGCTTAAGAGATGCCAGGTAGGAAACACTGAGGTCACCTCCTCAACTCTGTTCCCTATTCCACCAAACCCCAAATCTGTTCAGATAACCCATCTCTTCCTTACAGCATGCAGGGGAAAGTGAAGCCATTTCCAGTTCCAAGGCTAGATATGAATGGGTTTAAGCCAGGCATGCTAATGCATATCCTTTGCACTGCAATGCCTGCTCTTTCTGGGTTATAATCAATACATATACATAAGTAATATGATACTTAATTGCCCAGGATATGCAAGAGGCATACACAAATCAGAATTGTTATTGTAAATCAGTCCATTTTTTGTCAATTAGAAGAAAATCCCTTCAGGAATTCTCACTAAGCCAAATGCAAGGATTACTTCATAGATATGCTTTCCAATATGGGCCAACATGAAGAATTATTGGCTGCCTTCTTCAACTATTTTTAGTTATATGTTAAAGTTATGTGACCCATATATTCTTTCCTCAAAGGCCCCCAAGAATCTGGAAAGGATTAACCAGACTCTAATTTAGGAATAGAGATGGATGAGTCCATCTGTGTGCATTTACTGGCATGAGTCACTGGGGAGGTTGACTAAGTCACTAAGATGATCCAGAACAGGTGTCTACAACTGTTTTAAGAATAAGTACTGTGGTGGCCTGCTCAGGTCTCCAACTTTGGGGATTGACAGACAGTCCCAGCTGGTGGCTCTGGAATCCTGGACACCAAGGCCAAGGATGATAACCTTTATTCAAATTATAGCATGGTCCATCTCTAAGGGCAAGTGATTAAGTGTGGTGGGGGTACTAAGGTAGGCCCATTCCAGGGAGACATGGGACTCTTCTGATGGGTGACTTTGGTTCAAGGACTCTCCCTTAGCCTTGACCAAACTTTCTGAGTCCTGCACTGCAGTGTAAACATTTCCTTCCTTTGCTCTCTCCCATATCACATATCACAGTCTGATGGCCCTCCTAGCATATTTGATCTCATCTTGGCTTCTTACTCCCAGAGGACCAGGCTAACACAAGTACTGCTAAAACTATATCTCCCAAATTAAAACACTCAAGTGTATTTATTAAAATAGTCTTGTAGTAAGAATAAAGATCAAAGACATTAATTTGAGAATATTTATGAAAGACTTAACCACTACATTTCCATTCTCTAATATGTGTATGATAACCTTTATTCAAATTATAGCATGGTCCATCTCTAAGGGCAAGCTCCTGTCTGCCTATTTAAAGCAATGAAGCTGAAGTTTGCTGCTTCTCTTGACAGGTGGGCAGCCCTAATTCAGAGTTATAAAAATTTTCATTCTCCTTTGGTGTATTTGTGAAATTAACCTGGGCCTGTATTTTCTTTTGGGGTCATAAGTATGTGAAACACATATTCTAGGAGCCAATAATATTCCAATCACAGAGGATGTCCCAGAACCTAACACTGCCATGCTGAAACTCTCTTCCTCCAGTAAGGAATAAGGGAGTGGTTTTC